CAGTGCTTGATCCCCACAGCAGTGTTGCATATAGATTAATCTTCAGGATGATGGGTTCAGATTGAAAATATTGATCCAATTAATTTTTGAGTTGGATTTTGGATTAACCCTGCAAATGAGTCGAATTTACGTAGAACAGTTTATTTTCGAATTAAATGGGCGGATTCAAACTATTTAGGATCAAATTAGGCGGATTTGGATCAGGCATTTTATCCCGTATAATAAGCATGTCGAACTCCAATCTAATTTATTCGGATAAAGTCCATTTCCGCTCGACCGACCGACTCGAATTCACACCCTTAATCTCTATCCTATAATTTTTTTATAAAAAATATTCTGCCAAGTGTCAAGATTATGTCATTCTGAGGTCCCAAAATCATATCAATGAATCCTGTCCATGAAATCAAATAATTATAAAATGTAGATTTTTCTTACATATCAATGCATCAATATGGGCTTCAAACCCCACACATCTTTTAAATATAATAAGGGCATTTTCACGCACAAAATCGTATAAATTTTATAATGGCTCTCTCGTAAATTTGAATTAGCCATTTTATATTTACAAAATGTAATATATATACACGATTTTGTAAATTGCAAATTAATCTTAAACTTCTAAATAAATAAATTATTCTTAAAAATTATGGTAATTGATACATCATCAAAAAATCATCTTAATCAGACGCGAATCTTGAGGCAAAATCGAGTTGAAAACTTCCAAAATTAAAATTGGGATCATCCGAACTCCGATTTTAGCAAACTTATAGTCAAACTGAACATCTCGAAAATATGAACCCAACGACACCAAAATTGACTCAATTCGAGCCCAAATGAGTTCAAATCAAGTACTCAAGGCGTTGTTGGAAGGTTCAAACCACAATTTGGATTACTAAATGGTTTCCAAACATCGTGCAATTAAAGATTGATCAACATGGAGAATCAGACATTCACAACTCATCATCAACTTGTGGAGATGGAGATTGATGACGATCACACAGATGATCCGGGGGGAGCAAGTCAGAGGAATCCTCGGACTCGGTGATATGGAGGGCACAATTTACTGCCCAGGCACTAACCTCAACACATGGCATCAATGAGGGCACAATTTATTGTTCAAGCTTGAATTAAATCGAGGTTCGAGCAAATTTCTAGCGATGTTCTAATGTTATTTGAATAAGATTCAAGTATAGTTCAAATTTAGTTGTAATAGGCCAATACAACTAAGTTCAATTAACTCGCTTGATCAGAGGTATGTGTTCGGACTCAATTTCATATAATAGGGGGTAATTTTGTCCAAAATAAAATTTTAAAAATATTTCTCCCTGAAAAACATCAAGCTTATCTGATTAGTTACATGTATTATAATTCATATAAAATCAAGTTTCCATATGTATTATGAGATTGCTTCATTTTAAAATGATTTTCTCTTTATCAAATTTTTGATTAATTTTTTTTTTCAAAATGAGAAAAAAAAATTATTCAGGAATTTCCTAATTTAAAAATTTTTAATGAGATATTTTTTGCAATCTATAGGAGAATTAAATTTCAAAATAGAGCAAAAAATAATAGATTGCCCAATCAAATTGTGGTGAAATAAATAATTTTTTTATTACTTTAAAGAGAATGAGAATAAATTTAAAGTATTATTATGTAATATTTTCTAATATTTTTATGTACTTATTGTTTTTATTTTTATTTTTTTTAAATATAACATAATTTTATGCTTGTATTTAAAGCTATGAACATATAGTATTTTAATAAACAATTAATAATGATTATTTTTTACTTTAATAAAAACCTTAAATAAAATAATTTCAAGCTCATAATTTATTTTTTTATCCACCTCATCCTTGGCTGTCATCCTTGACATAGAAAGAGAAAATAATGTAGAAAAAGATTCTTGAGATAGAAAGAGAAAATAATGTAGAAAAAGTCCCATCTGATTATAGGAGAGAATAAGAACAAATACAAACAAAGCCTCTCTGTTCCCTCTCCTCTCACTCCTCTAAAAATTAAGAGTACAGACACAGCTCTCTGCATCCATGGCATCTCTGTCTCTCTTTCTCTCTCTATCTCTCTCTTTCTCTCTCTATCTCCTCTCCAATAATTGAATGAGATTTGTGGACACCTAATTTTTCCATTATTTTTAAAATTATTTAAGAAAATTTAACCAAATACAAAGAATATGACTACGTGCGCTCGTGCATATCCGAACAAAAATTACTAATAGAAAATTTAAAATAAAAAATCGATGAAATCTTGTGGTAGAGATCTTTCTCTCTCTTCTCTCTCTCCTCTAAATACTTCCAAAACTCACTAGATCAAGTAGTCCTCATAATGGTTTTCTCTCTCTTCTCAGGCCAGCATCTTCTCCTCCACTAGGGATGCATGGCCTTCATCTAGGGTTAGGATTTTAGCTCAAGATCTTAAATTATTTGAAGATTGAATTGATTTTTTGAGAAAGATTGAGCTTGAGCTTGAATCAAGTCGAACTACGAGCCGAATTTTTAGGTGATTGGGACTTCGAACTGATTTGAGTTCAGCCAGCTCGAATTCGAATCAATTTGAACCAAGAGCTTCATGTTTTGTTTGGGACAGCTTTCGCACTGCTTCTTAAAACGACTTTTCAGTCTAAAATTTTCTAATTTGAGAAATTTTGGTAGTAGAAAGCTGTTTTAGAAAGTAACAAAAAGTTATTCCAAACAAAACCTAAATCTAGCAAAATTAGAACTTTTAAGATCGAAAAATTTTTATCAAGATATCATAATCATAATTAATTAATCCAGAGTTAAGATTTTAGCTCGAAGATCATAAATTATTTATATATTGAATTGATTTATGGCTACGATTGAGCTTGAATCAAATCAAGCCACGAGCCAATTTTTTAGATGATTAGATCTTCAAACTGATTTGAGTTCAGCCAGTTTGAATTCCGATTAATTTGATCCAAGAGCTTAAGATTTCATTTGGACAATTTTCTTATTATTTTCTAAAACAACTTTTTAATACCAAAAATTCACGTTCATTTGGGATGGCTTTCTTACTACTTCGTAAAGTAGCTTTCTAGTAAAAGCTGCTTCAAGAATTAATAAGAAAGTTGTCCACTTTTCTTGTTGCTTCTTAAAATAGCTTTCTAGTATAAAAATTTTATTTTTGCACTAAAAAATTGTTTTAAGAAGCCAAAAAAAATCATTAGGCTTCGTTTGGGACGGTTTTTTGTTGCTTTATAAAGATTTTTTCTGAATCAATAAGAAAATTTTAGTATTAAAAAAATATTTTATAAAACAATAAAAAAATCGTCCCAAATGAAGCTAAGTCTAACAAGATTATAACTTTTCTGATCAAAATTTTTTTATCAAGATATCATAATCAAAATTATAGGAGAATTAATCTTAACATTATTGAATATATTTTTAAAATTAGTTCTATTGTGTCAAATTTATTTTAAAATAAATTAATAAATTTAAAATCACCACCAGTAAAATTTGATTAGATTGTGGGGACCCAATTTTTTCACTACAACTAGCTCCATGCAATAGTTAATATCACGTGACTTCCTCCTCTCTTTACTACTACTAATCCCCTCTCTCTCTCTCTCTCTCTCTCTCTCTCTCTCTCTCTCTCTCTCTCTTCTGCGCCTTGCTCCATTGGGATGCTAGCAGTAACAGCACTGAGGAGCTCCACAAACGGAGACAGAGCAGGAGATGTGGGCGGCGCTGCCAACCAGCTCCCAGCTTCGGACGACTTCTCGGTCGACTTCGACTTCGATTTAACAGAGCTTTTGGCCGGATTCGATGATTCCGATCTCCTTCCCGGGCTCCAGATCGATGACATCGACTTACCGGGGCCGGATACATCGGCCGTGGAAGTCGAAGCCAGCTGCGCCGGCAGAGATAGTCAACAAGAGGAAAGAGAAGAGGAGATGGCTCTGACTAATCATGAGGAGGTTCTGAGCTGTGAAATAAAGGAAGAGACCTCGGCAGCATCGGAGTCAAATTCATCGGCGGAGACGCCGCCGGAGAAGGACAGAGCAAGAAAGTCCACTGCCGGGCAAGCAAAGGGCTCCAATGGGAAGAGAAAGGTGAAGGTATACTTTTTTTTTCACTTAAAATTATTTAAAAATGTCTTGAGATTTTTTTTTTGAAAATATTAAATTATTCTAAATATATTTTTATTTATTATTTACTATATTTTAGTAACCAAAAAGATATAAATTTTCCACCAAAAATATATTATCTTGCAAAGATTAGCTCAATTACACATTGTAAATCACTACATGAAAAATATCATTTTCTGGCGGCGATTTTTTTTCCGGAAAATGATCAAATTTCGTGCGAAATTAATGTTTATGGTGGATTTCTGGCAGAAATATTTATGCCGATAAATCACTTGTCAGGCCACCGGCTCCTGTGAATTTTTTACGAAAAATTCGTCGGAAAAATTTCCGACGAATACATAATCCGTTGGAAAAATGATAGAAAAATATTTGATCATGCTACACACTATATAAACTCATATTAATGTTCAAATACAAAGATAAAAGTGAGGATTAAAAAAATTTATGCTAAATAAGAGCAATTTTAACCATTAAACATAAGATGATTAGTTCTACTCTTACATAATCACACGAGATATGAATTAGACTGACCTTTAGATGAACAATTAAACCGAAGGCAATTAATTGAATAAATATACAAAAATAAGATCTAAAGACGTTTACATGATTCGACACCGAACGGGTTTATGATCTCTTCTCGAGGTAAGATTTCTCAATCGAATTTAAAAACACGACCGTAACTCTTTAGTTTCACGTAATGGGTAGGTGGAGAAAACCCAAACATCTTCAGGGGGTCTTTGCCACGAAATATTATTACGTGCGGAGTTCAGATCAGAGCTGTGTCCAGATTATATGAGTGTGCACAGTAAAAGAGCAGTGTGCGCATAGTACTTACGTTTTTGCTGCGCACACTCAGAATCTGGACGGTTCTTAAGTTCGAACTTTGATAAGCCAAGTCTCAATCATCGTGACGATAGAAAATGAAGCCAAAGTGTTCTAATATTAGTTTGGAGATGATTAAATATTTATCACCTAACACTCAAATTAGGAGTTCGCTTTCAAATTTGATATTGTAACCCTAATTTTTTTTAATTTCACTCAATAAACCAGTAGGTGGAGAGATATTTACATTCATCTTCATTTAGGGGCAAGAGTAATTAAGCTTTGCTACACTGAGCACCAAAAATTAACAAAAAACCTAAAAATTGAGAGAGAAGAATGTTGTGAACATGTGTTTCTCAAGGATTTGCCTAAGTATAAATTTTATTTTATTTTTCGAAATTTGATCAATAAGATATGGAGGGGTGTTAAAAAATGATTCGACCCACCAACTTGGCCCAAGAGTTGACCCAAAAAATTTTAGGTTTACGTTGATATGTTTAATAAATTCGATGGTTTTGAGTTCGGAATTTTGACCAATTTATTAATTGGGTCAAATTGATCGAGTTGATTGGCGAATCCATTTTAACCCAAAAGTGATCTTTTTTTTTTTGCTTGTTGGAACAATATCCTTATTTTTGATCAATTTCTTTAAAATTTATAGTCAAAAATTCAATTTTGTAATCAAAATAGGTTATCTGGTAGGGTTCAGATCATTTGGGTTGCAAGTGGGTTGGGCTAAGATCCATCATTTTAACCCGTTTACTCAAAAGTGATCTTTTTTTTTTTTGCTTGTTGGAACAATATCCTTATTTTTGATCAATTTCTTTAAAATTTATAGTTAAAAATTAAATTTTGTAATCAAAATAGGTTATCTGGTAGGGTTCAGATCATTTGGGTTGCAAGTGGGTTGGGCTAAGATCCATCATTTTAACCCGTTTACTCTACAGGTTGAATCATAAACCTGACTCGTTAACCCATTTTGACACCCCTACTAAAAAGAATTTCATAATGAAAACTTCTTTTTCACAAATGCATTAGCATTTTCGTCTGAAAAATATATCATATTTATAGATTCACATAACTATAAATAATTATCCCTATTATTTAAAAAATTAAAAAAGGGCTAAAATTATTTCTTGACATTTTATGAAAGATCAAAATAGTTCCAACTATATTAAAGAATTATTTTGATATCTTAACTCCTTAAAGAAGAACCAAAATAATCACACAATGATATTATTTTGATTCTTTTTTAAAAATTAAGAGATCAAAATAATTATTTAATATAGTTACGAATTATTTTAGTACTTTATAAAGAGTTAAATAATCATTTTGATCTTTATTTTCCATTAAATAATATTTTATAATGAGTTCATTAAACTAATCATCTAAACATAATTGATAATTAAATATATATAAAGAATACTTAATTATCAATTAATCAATTAATTAATCAGTGGATGTAAATGGCAATTCTGTAATTTAGGTGGATTGGACGGCGGAGCTTCACCGGCGATTTGTTCAGGCGGTGGAGCAACTGGGAGTAGAGAAGGCGGTGCCGTCAAGGATTCTGGAGCTCATGGGCATCGACATCGTGACTCTTTCATTTTTTTCATTTCGTTCTTTTTCTTTTAAAAAATATTAAACATCTTTTAATAACAGCTTTAAGAAATTAAAACTTATATTAGTATAATTAATTAGAATATGGAAGCAAAAATTTATTTTTTAATCATAATTTAGGCTTGATTTCGCACATCTTTTCTATTGCTTTCTAAAACATCTTTTTAGTACAAAATTATTCTGAATTAGAAATTTTGTATTAAAAAGCTGCTTTAGAAAGTAATAAGAAAAATGTCACAAATGAAGCCTTACTGAAAGTATGTAGCTCATATTATTTTTTAGTATGTGATGTGTTTGTGAATTTGACTGAATGTTCTTTTTTCTTTTTCAAATAGAAATATCGATCGCACCGAAAGCATATGATGGCGAGGGAGGTAGAGACGACGAGCTCGAGTCAGAGACGACAACTATATGCTACGTGGTTGCCGCCGGCAATGGGATTTCCTCCAAATGCTCCTCTTCCTCCTCCTCATCCTCAGCATCTTCATCTTCACCCAAACATGCAGCATTTTAGACCACTGCATGTATGGGGTCACCCTACAATGAACCAATCTTTAGTTCATATGTGGCCTAAGCAGATAGTCCCAATAGGACCAGCACCTAACACTCCATGGGTTGCACCTCACCCAATTCAGCCCTCTCTGCTGCCTCCTCATGCCTCTCCATGGCCTGCACATTTTGCAAGGGTATGCCTCTCTCTCTCTCTCTAGAAAACAAGTTAGATAATACAACTACGGATTCAAATTCTCTCAAATTAAGGGTTCTCTCAACTCAGGATTCGGTTCATATTAGGGGTGTAAGTGAGACAAAATGGCTCATAAGCACCAGCTCAAACTCGACTCGTTAACAAGCTCATGAGTCGACCTTATCAAGTCATAAGTTTGAGCTCAAGCGTATAGTCGAGCTTGAGTTCAAGCTCAACTAAGCTCGACTCGAAAGCTTGTCGAGTCCATCTTTAAAATTAAAATATAATTAAAATCTAATTTTCCAATATTATAATAAACCAAGCTCGAGCTTTCTCAATGAGCTTGAGTAAACGAGCTAGCCGAGCCTTAGTAATTGAGCAGAGCACGAGCCTACTAATTTTCAAACAAGTCGAGCTCGAACTCACTAAACAAGCCCGAGTCAAACTTGAACTCGAGCTCAACAAGAGTTAATCAAACTTAGCGTGATCACGCATATACTCGACTCGACTCATTTATACCCTCTATTAACCTATGATTCGGGTAATCAATGAAAGATGGAATGTTCATCAGCCCAAGATTAGAAAATCTAAAAATAAAATGTAATATTGTGCTCAGTGCATCATGATCTGTGATTGGGGCAGCCTACCCAAACTATAGCATCCATCATCTTATGATATGAAGATCTAAAGGTAATGGAATTATGTACCTATGGCATCTCATGATCTAAGCAACCCACTAATGGTGGAAAAGATGTCATCAAATGATCTAAATATCTAAAGGTTTGATGAAATGGTGTCATTTGAAAATATCCAACATTCTAAGCTTCGACATCTATGTTTTATATGGAACAACTTTTTTATGGACTTCTAAAACAGCTTTTTAGTACAGAAATTTATTGAACTGGTATTCGTATACTAAAAAGTTGTTTTAAAAAGTAGTAAAAAAGTCATCCCAAATGAAGCACTAGACAGAAGATAGAGCGACCATTAGTTATAACAAAGAGAGAAAGATGAAATCCCACATATATCGGAGGAAAATATAAATATAAATATATCACCTATGAAAGGGCGAGGCCAAAACTCAGAGATGTAAGAAACTCCGATCCGATCATTATAACTTATGAGAAGAGAACAAATAGGAATATTATACTTATGGAATGAATGCCGAAGGATAATACTATCACATATGAAAGGAGAATAAAGTTTCATTTGGGATGATTTCCTCGTTATTTTATAAAGTTGCTGTAGAGAATGTAGTTTTTTAAAGTGATTTTCGTCGTATTCTAAAGAGAAAAGGAGTAAGAAAGTTATCTTAAAAGAAGACTAAGAAGGAACCATGTTCCCAGGGGTACTGTCAATTTCGAGTCACTGGTCAGGTTCGGGTCAAACCCGAAACGACGCGCGGTCAGGCACACTCGGACTCCGCGCGGGCAGCTTTGGTCAGGCCCGGTCAGGAAGGGCATCGGGTCATTCCGGGTCATTAATGGGTTTTCGGGTCAACCCGAACCCGACCCGAGTTTGCAAACCGGTCGAAAACCTTAACCCGAACCTGACCCGGTTCGGGTTCAGGTCGAGTTTTCGGGTCGTGTCCAATATTGACACCAACCCCTACATGTTCCTATGGAAGAAGAGAGATGGAGCTTAAAACATTACCAAAGTTTACCATCCACTTTAGGCATGATACTAGTCATCTTCATTTGTGACAGCTTTCTTACTATTTTCTATAGCCGTTTTCTAATACAATTTTTTTTTTGAATTAGAAATTTTTATACTAAAAAGTTGCTTTAAAAAACAGTAAGAAAACTGCCCCAAACACATATTAAATAAAACATCACAAATACCATAAGATTGCGTATTTAAGTGAAATTTGTAGGGTAGAGAAGAAGGGGATTGATAGATCGATAGGTAAGGGAGAAGATAGAAAGCGTTAAGCTAAGCAGCCTTAAGATCCACACCTTAGCCTCTAAAAGCTTATTCTCATAAGCAAATTTCTACTATGTTTGGTTTTACTTACCATCAAAATCATTAAAATTTGTATTTTTTCTTAAATTTTGCAAATAAGATAAGTTAATCTAATTAGTTAGCCTAAATCAAACAAACCCTCTATATAGTTTAAACTGTAATTTCATGGACACAATTCTAGCAAATAAAATCTCTCTCTCTCTCTATCTCTCTCTCTCTCTCTAAAATTCACCAATTTTTTCTCTCACTCACCATTTGTTGTATTGCAGGGAACGCCTTACTTTCCTCAACCACTGCAGACAATGGTAATATATTCACATCTCTCTTTGATTTGTTGGTTGAAAACTTTGACTATCAACTAAGAGATTTTGAATTCGAGTCTTACGTATGTACAGAGGTTTCCAGCTCTTCCGGTTCCCGGAATTCCACCGCTTCCTACGTACATGCCGGACAGTGCCATTCCGGCGGCAATGGCGCAGCCGCCGCCACCGTGCAAGCAAACAGGCCGGTTGGTCCAACTCGATGCTCATCCGGTAATTAACTGACTAAGAACTATGAAAATAAAGTAGAATTGTGTCTTAAATTAATTTTCTTAAGGGTGATTGCAGAAATACCTCATAATATTTATTTATTTATTTATATATAATAAAAAAATATTAATAATAATAATTTTTTAAAAGTGAAATACACATTTTCATAATTTTATTAGCATTTTATTCTTAATTTGTATTTGTTATATTTATTTGTAATTAATATTAAGTCTACTTTACATAATAAAATATATCATAACTTCATATCTTAAGAAAAAAAATCTTGCAAAACAAAAAGGGGTGTTTTATAATTAGAAAGAAGTAATGCCATGCAATTAAAAATATGTATATTACATTTTTTTTTTACAATGGCTTATTTTATTGATTGAAGTTATAAATTATATTTTCAAAAATATTAAATTTTCTTAAATTAATTATTATGTTGGATATAGTAATTAGACACTTGTTAATAGAGGGGAGACAATTAAAGCCCCCCTTTCCACTCAATAAGTCTCATTTGCATATTAATTTATTAGTAGATTTGCATATAAACCATAAAATTATTATGTATTTATATATCTAACACCAAGTAAAAAAAAAAACACAAATTAGTTACTCTGCACTAATGCTTCATGTTAAGGGGGCATGTAGTGTCTTCTATACCTATGGGAGAGGGACATGCGCCCAACACACATCTTACGTGTGTCGAACACAATCGTTACATATCTGATTAAAAATAATTGAAAAATAAGACATGCGACCAACACCAGTCTAAAGCGTGTCAGACATGGCTGTTACGTATCTGATTAAAATAATTGAAATCAATAGGACACACAACAAACACACGTCTGATGCGTGTCAGACACGGCTGTTACGTATCTGATTAAAAATAATTTAAAAATAGGACATGTAGTCAACACACGTCTGACACATGTCAGACATGACCGTTACATATCTGATTAAAAATAATTGAAAAATAGAACATACAGCCAACATATGTCTGACACATGTCGGACACGACCTTTACGTATCTTATTAAAAATAATTGAAAAAATAGGACACACATCCAACACACTTATAACACGTTTTGGATGCGGTAGTTACATATTTGAGTAAAAATGATTGAAAAAACAGGACACACAACCAACACACGTCTGACGGGTGTCGGACACAACCGTTATGTATCTGATTAAAAATAATTGAAAAAACAAGACACGCAGCCAACACACGTCTAACACGTGTCAGACACGATCGTTACAAATCTGATTAAAAATAATTGAAAAAAATAGGACACTCAGCCAACACACGTCTGACGCGTGTCGGACTTGACCGTTACAAATCTTATTAAAAATAATTGAAAAAATAGGACACTAAGCCAACACACGTCTGACGCGTGTCAACCAAAACATGTCTGACGGGTGTCAGCCAACACATGTCTAATGGGTGTCAGACACAACCGTTATGTATCTGATTAAAATAATTGAAAAAATAGGACACACAAACAACACACGTCTAACGCGTGTCGGACTTGACCGTTACAAATCTAATTAAAAATAATTGAAAAAATAGGACGCTCAGCCAACACACGTCTGACGCGTGTCAGACATGATCGTTACAAATCTGATTAAAAATAATTGAAAAAATACGACACTTAGCCAACACGCGTCTGACACGTGTCAGACACATATCTGATTAAAAATAATTGAAAACATAGGATATGCGTGCCCGACACACATGCTCTAAAAACTTAAATATTAACATTTAAAATTTTTAAATCTTGAAGACAAAATCTTTTTTTCTTTTCTACATTTCAGAAGTTTTATTTTATTTTTTATTTTATGTTGTTTTCAGTCAAAGGAGAGCATAGATGCAGCACTTGGAGATGTATTGGCTCAGCCATGGCTGCCACTGCCTTTAGGACTGAAGCCTCCCTCTCTAGACAGTGTAATGGCAGAACTCCACAAGCAAGGAATAGCAAATGTGCCTCCATGCAGCTGAAATATTAATCAAAATTCGTCGACTTGTCCTTACTTTTTTTTCCCTTTTTTATTTTTTATTTTTCAATTCAACCCTTATGTGGTTCCCTTTTTTCTTCATCTTCTCCAAATTAAACAGCTTTGGCTGAAGTGAGAACATATGGTGAAGTTTCTCTCTCTCTCTCTCTCTCTGTATATTGTTGTAATAGTGCAGAACTATTTTTCATTAAATAAATCTGAAAATTTTTGAGACTGAGCATTTGATTGAAGTATTTGCTTTGGTCTGGTTTTCACGAGAAATTATTCTGTGTGGAGGTTGGATGCAGAACGTCGTCCCGAGATCAATCAAAATACGTCACATTAGCGGTACCGAGCTGTGATACCGAGCGGATCCGAGCAGTACTGAGCGAATGGGTGACAGAATAATTAATCTGTTTTCAGTCATCTATTGTTTAAGCAAAAATAGGTAGTTATTTGAAAATAATTAAGATAATGGAGTTTATTTAAAAAGCTTATAAATATTAGTTGAATTTGTATTATAGGCATTTGTTTTAGAAGTAATTATGATTTGTTAGCTTAATTAGTTCTAATTAAGACAATAAAAATGAATTGTGTTGAGTACTGAAGTATAAATAAAGGAGAGTATTAGGAACTATTTCTGTAAACAAAGAAATAGAGGTTCTTAGGCTTTGTTTGGGATATTTTTGTTACTATTTTCTAAAATAATTTTTAAGTACAAAAAGATTTTAAAAACATTAAAAAAAACGTGGTCAAAAGTTATTCCAAACAAAAGTTTTGTTTGGGTCATTTAAGTAGCTTTTTAATACAAAACTATGACTTCATTTGAGACGGCTTTCTTACTGATTCTTCAAGTTGCTTTAAGAAGCAGTAAGAAAGCCGTCCCAAATGAAGCATAAGGGATGACTTTCTTAATGCTTTGTAAAGCTATTTTTTTAGTACAAAAATTTCTTAAAAACAGAAAAAATGTAACGGTTTAAAAATGTTGCTAACTGAAAAGCCATCGAGTTGGAAGCTTGATTGGGAAAGAGATTCATCAACATAATACTTGCTGAGGGTTTCCTTCTTCCATAATTCATTTCTTTCAAATAGTAATAAAATGTTTTTGGCTTTTTGCAACTAGGTTAGACAATTTTAAAAACTGGTGATCTCTAAGTGTTTCAAAATGAAACAAACGTTCAGAAATTTTTATGATTGAATGAGATAAAATATTACATTGAAGTTGCTCTACATAGAAATAAAGGTGAGAAACTAATATAGAAATCAAATGAAAGAGATTTATGATCATTGTAACTTTAAACTTACATCCATTTTCAAAATAAGTGAGAGAATATATGATAACACATGTCGGCTAGCTAGCTCCCTCGACAAATATCTTCATTGATTTTCTATCACTATATCCATTATATTAACTTCTTATTACAAGAGAGAGGCCATAAGTAGGGGTGTCAATATTTGAAATGACTCGAACCAGGCACGAAAATTCCAGCTTAGGGTCAACCCGTTTGTCAAATTGGTCGGGTTCAGGTTCAACAAACCAACTTGTTTCAAAAATCGGGTAGGATTCGAATTGACTATAAAACCCGATAATGAAGCTAACGGCTCTCGTCAGCGCACCACGATAGATAGTAATATACACGACTTGATTGAAACAACGGGTTTCCCCCACCTGATACATCAGCTCGAGTTGGGTTTATTTGATAGTGGGACTCGGTTTCCCGCGGGCACAAGCCCTAGCAGTCAATTACATCTCGATACCGGGGCAGGAGAAGACTCTCAATTAAGGATCATACATTATCATTTCCGAATTGAAATTGTCACATAGGGCAAAGACTATGAAGTCCTACTCAAAAAGAAAGAAAAGAGTTCAAAGTGGCTTAGTCAACACACATGACTCATACTAATATCCAGAGGGACAAAGGTATTGGAAAGAAAAGAAAGTCAAGCACATAAAGCATGCAACAGAGAAGAATGAAAGTGCTGTCATTCATGTGACGCATATAGGTAAGGCTTATGGTCCCTGAAAAATAGGGAATTAACTTACCTACCAATGAGGCCTACTACGAGTCACCAAATATAATAGCCATGAACACTAACACTCGTGTCATAGCTAATGCACCTGATCTTATATCCTGCATGAAAAGGAAAGTCAGCTAACCCCCTAAGCGCATAAAATTAATTTTGTCCGGTCTTTATGAAAGATGGGTGGGTAGCTTAATTTTTAGAAGTAATGCCAACGTCTAGAGAGTTTCCTAATTAACCTTATACCTATGTAAGGTGAATGCTTCTAGAACTAATGCAATTAAATTTTTTGATTTAATCAGTTTAATGCAATGCATGCTAGTTCAGGTATCCAAATCAAGTGTATAGAATTTTAAAAAGGCTTATAAAATAATTTTTTTGAAAAGACTAGATTTTCCCATATTCAGTACCTCATCCTCATAGGTCGGATTATCTGGACTTTACCTGCAAGCGGGGAAGTGTCTTATAATAAGGAGAAAGAAAAAATGCATTAATATGCATGCGACCCCAGACGATTTTGGTTATTCCTCAGGTCATTATTTTTATGTTATTTAATTTCTAAAATATTAAATTTTAGTTACGATTAGAAAAAAATTTAGTCCTTAGAGAGCCTAGCGAAGTCAGGTTACACACATGTAAGAAAGAAACCTAAAAAAACATGCAGTTCTACTACGCAAGTAATGTAAACATATCAATATAAATAAAACCAAGCAGAGTAAAAAAAAGTCTAAAGTCCCTGACAAGTACCACATATAGTATAACTCAGACTCTGAAGAAAAGTAATGGTTGTCAGGCTCCAATTACAACATCCTGAATTCTAGTCCTATTGAATAACGCAAGTCTTAAAAGCTGGGCATTTCTTCTTCAGGTCTTCATCTTTGGGCCTTCAGATGGATCATCTTCCTTCGGGTTCTTTTATGGAACGTCTTTGAGTTCCTCTATGGGTCATCTCCATAAGGGTACCCAAATGAGTAAGAAATTTCCATGAAAGACCTTTCTTTCTCCCTTTGGGTATCTAGTGTTTGAAATGCTGGATTTTTGAAGACTTTTACAACTCAATATTATCATAAATTACATCAAATTATATCACAATAAAAAGAGAAAATCTAGACTTTCAAGCATGGTTATCCTAATAAAAATATCCCAAGCAGTTAATATATGCGCATAAAAAAAATAAACACACTCGACCACACTCTTCTTTATTTTGGGGGATAAGTATTATAGAGCACATGTAGCAAGCATTTATAATTATTAACTAATTTAACCCCCTTTATTGAGTGCTGCATGAGCGCGACCACATGTATAAGATTGAGTTAGTATAAATCATCCCTAACCTAGGGGTAGATCTAACGCATAAATAATCACATTACAGATAAAGTGCATTACAATAAGGAAACAAATGCTCACATCAATCCAAAGAAACCAGCATACGTCCCACATACAAGAGCGCCAAAACACAGAGTAGAAAAAAAAGGACCAGCCTAACCTAGGACTAGAAGTGGTGCCTTAACAAATAATTCAATGTATAAGTAATCAGTTGATGTGGCTTTGGATATGTGTTACGTTGAGTAAGTTCAAGCTGTATTATGTTCATATTTATTGAAGTTTCGAAAGGAAAACTATTAATATTTTGGGGTCCATTTTAGTTAATTTAGTTTGTGGACCAGCTTTAATACTTAGGGTAATAATCTTTAAGTTTTAAGTTGAGTTAGCCAGTTTTAGAATGTCTCGGGTCATCCTACCCGTTAAGCTAAGGGGGTTCAAAAGGTTGCTTTTAAAAATATTTAGGTTTTAAGGTTCCAATAGTTTGATTAAATATTGGACCTTACTATGAGTAATGAGTTTTCAACATAAAGTTATGAATTTTAGAAGTTTCAGACCCTAATTAATGAACAACGATTGATCAGAAAGTTAACTTTTTTGTTTATGTTGATTTCTAGAAACTTAATATTTTTTAATAAATACTAAACCTTAATTATAGTTAAACACCATTTAGTTTACCATAAAGTTAAATCTGAAATTTTTTATAATCAGTTGTGAATTTTTGAAGTTTAGGCCATTTAATGAATTATTAAAATTATTTAATTAAGGACATTATAGGGGTATTGATTCAAATCAGCTCCAAACTACTTCAAATCACTCCCAAAAGTAAGAAATGACCTAAAAAAGTTTTTCCAAGTGTTTAAGAAAAAATTGGGATTTTTAATAATTTTTTAATTATTTAATTTAATCATAAAGGTAATTTTTAATTAGAATTAAATTAAGATTTATATTGAAGTCTGATTAAGGGATTTTAATTTTTTAGATTAACCATTAGATTTGGAAGAGTTTGATGTATTATGGGCAATTTTTGGAGTTAAAAGGTGAATTGGGGTTTATTATAATTTTTTGAAGTTTTCAAGGTTTAATTAAAAGGTGAATTGGGGTTTATTAATTAGGGGGTTCAAAAGGGCCCTAAAAATTCCTAGAAAAATTTTGAAGGCTTAGGATGTCACTAAGTTTAAGTTTGTAAAGTTTCATGTTAATTGGGAATCTATCATAGCTCCTAAATTTTTTCTAACTTCGCTAGACGGGTCCTTAAATATTATTCTTAGGGTGTCATTACATTAGATAGGTTTAACTCAAGTTTTAGACTAACTCCTGGGGCAACATAAATGGAAATGCAATAAAAACATAAGCACATAAAGTCCTTAGATCTAGGAGGGTCTAAACTAGCTGCTCGTGCTTCTTACACACGCAGAAGATGATAAAAAAAGATGACTAAGACCGTTTAATGATGCGATTAGTGAATGATTGGAGATCAATCACCCACGAATAATATTCACAAACATAGTCTATGTTTAAAATTTTGTAAAGTTGATATATATCTCAAAATGGGATGATTTATTAATATATGTAATTTCAAAATAATTAAAATATTATGTATATATATATA